AACAGCTTAAGACCATGTCGTTACAATACCTCCATGCAGTTAGTCATGCGGGACTTCTGAGTAGTGGAAAGGCTGACGTGGTAGTTCCAAGCACTCGTCCAAGCATGTGTCAAAGGATACAGAGCAGAAAAAAAATCCCACAAACCCAGACCAGGAATCATGATCACAAGATGAAGACACAAGGAAATGATAAGTTTGGGTATGATCATTCAAAGCATGTAAAATGTCCAGCGAAAATGAAACAATGTAAAAATGTGTGATGGATGGAAATTTTTTTGCTATAATATGCTTTTCTTAGAAAGTTCCATATCATGAATTACAAGCTTTGCCAGAGCAGTCAGATTTAGACCCTGAATTTTTCATTGATATTATTGAAATCAATCACAACAATGATCAAGCATTTTGTAAATTGCTTTTTGGTCCAAAAACAAGTCGATCAAATTTTAATTTCATACTGGTTCGCAGGTCAACATATTACCAAAGTATGTACTCGACTCCCTGAATTTGTTTCGTGTAAACAATCTTGTGCAAACTGATCAAAAGTTGTCCGCATAGAACATTATTAACTCTCTATGTTCATTTGGATGCCTAGAGCTTGCTTGTACTTACATGTACAACGGGCAATCACTGAACCTTACATTTTTATATGGTTGCTACAACTTTTCCCTCCCATTTTAAGGATGCGAGCATATCTGTATTTTGGTGTGATAAAACTTGTATACGCGTGCATCTTATATACAGTTAAGAACAATAAATAAGCAATTATACATGTATTATTGTTTAAGCCTATAAGTTTTGGTCAGGTCTTGTCAGAGTTCTCAGGGGTTTTTGAAGGGGATGGTCTTTTTCCAGGATATTGTACAATACAATGATGAGTGATGTTGAAAAGCCCATAGCCATACTCCGCCCTTGCCTTGACTTCAAAGGCAAAATTAAGACCCCTTTTTGATGTCTTTCTCCATCTCTCAAAAGCTGCATTTTTGACTAAGTAAGATGCTAGAAGTAGGTAATGGACCATTACCTTGTCAAAATCATTATCTTACCTCACTACGTTTAATATTCAATTTGGTAAACAAAAAATTAATGAGAATTTAAAATACATCACTGAAGCAAAGTTGTAAAAGATATCAAATTGCAGCTCATAGGATAATTGAAAGTCTACTAATAACGTTACTTTCTGTCAAACCGGAAATAGTCGTAAACTGTATATTTTTGTCTTTATCGCAAGGCTCTTGGATGATACAATGCAAAAAAAAAATCGACCATTGGGCATCACTTCCGGTCAAGCGGAGGAACACTGTAGTCAGAAATGGCTTTGCGGGAATCGACACAGGTCGGAAAAACTTTAAGTCTTTAAAAACGTCTGATTTTGTTTATAAGTAATAACGTCACTGGGGACGCAATAAATAAATCTGACGTCACTTCCAGTCAACCTGAACGGATGATATTTTGTTGCTTTGCAACGATCTTTGCTCCAGTAAAAAATATATATTATCCAGCAAGGAAATCAATGCCTATTTGAAATTAATGCATAAGGTGACAACGTTGCTGCTTATAAATTGATTGTTTGTTATTTGACGTCAATCTCGAGAATTTTTCGCTCATATGGAGACGCCACCTCTTGCGGGTGGAGAGCTAAAAATTTCGTACTATTCTCGGCACTCATGGCCATTGAGCAGTGAGGGATGTTTTTCGTGCCAGCACCTCCTGAGACACGGGATCTCGGTCAATACGGTTTCATCAGAAAGACCGGTCTCCTCATCCCACAGATGAATTTTACGTAAGGATTGACTCCTTACTTCACGACTCTACACGAGACGCTCTGACCAAAGCACCATGCGGGCGACACTATTAAATTGATAAACAAATTGATGAACAATTATGACTTCAAAACGGCCCGACTAGAAAAAATAGTTGACATGTAGAAAAAATGTTGACATGGATGATAAACGTCTAACGCTTTGAGATACTTTTTTCTGAAAGCGATCAGTTTCAAACCATCTTCTTTATCGTTGAGTACTTTGTTGTATCCTTTGCAGTTAAATATTAAATTGAATCATTAATCAAATATTGTAAATAAAGCGATATTGCATACTTGGTATTGAATATAGTGACAATCCAGAATAAAACTGCGTGACGTTCTTTGAATTCTTCAAAATATATCTGAGATTTGGTTAACATGTTGAGGGGTTCATTCGTACCTAGTTGCGTCCAGGATCTCTGGTTTGGATGGATATTAATAACAAATAATTTCTTTAAAATGATTGCATCAAATGAATGACCTGCAAATATGTACAGATATATCCCTTCCCTTACTCAGGGGAAAATCAAATTCAGGGTCGGCTTTATGTAACCGAGCAGTTAAGGGAAAGGATGACTCAAATGTTGGTATCCATTTTATTTATTGAAGAATTAGAATAAAGACATTGACCTAAAACAAAAACAAAGAATACATTAGAAAAAATACATATAGTTCCATAAACAATTGACAATAAATTACCGTTTATGCAGTATACACATAGAAGATAGAAAAATGTACTGTAGCAAAATGAACTTTGAACTTACAGACAAAATATAAGAATTTACTAAGACAACTTTAACTGCAAAAATACGATAAAATATGAACTTCGCAATTAAAATAATATGTCAACCCCAAATCTTTAATAGTAAAGTAACAAATAATTAAATATGAAAGTTACATACCATAAGATGCATCTGATGTTGCCTGGATATAATATCTTCTTTAAAATGTAATGCTGCCCAATTTTGCTTAGTTTGAACGTTTACTTATACTCAAGGTAAATTAAACTATTGGATAATATCAAATGAACCAAAATTAACAAAATTAACAGGGGGTTCAATAAGTACAACCGGACCGACAACAATATTGCCTTTTTTCAGGTTCGAAGTGTCATTCCCGATGTGCTTACCAACTACAAGTGGTCAGTCTATGGCAACAGTAAATATCCTAAATTTTCCTAATACAGGACGCACAGTCATCCACAGCTATAAGAGACTTAATTTACCTAAAATCGTCTCCAGGCAAGCCTCTGAGGATTGACTTCCCCGTACGGTCGGCCTCTAAATGGTTAGTCACACAATAATACAACTACATGTAATTTATTGTGGCAAGCCTTCGTCGTCAGACAATCCATCTTGTTTTGTTAAATAATTTTGATAAGCCTCAATATTAGACCATTCACCCAACTAACCTTTTCTCCAAATGTACGTTTTCTTCTCTCTCTTGCGACCGGACAAAAAAGGACCCCGTATCTTAGCTTATATATTTTTGTTTTAGATCACGCGATCTGCTTCAACCAATTACAGACCTTCGAAGGCCGACTTGCATATCCAGAATATACAAAGCTATGAATCGTTATACTTGCATGTCTTTCAGTATCTAAAGCTAATAGTGAAATATGTCGAGAATTTTTTATGATGACCTTTACTTGGTGTTTCAGATTACAGAAACAGATTGCTTTGACGAACAATATGTTAAATAAAAGAGAACACATTCTAAATGGAAAAAATAGACAAGGTCTAATTCATTTTTTATTTCATTATTTTTTTATTTGAAGAAAAATATGCAAGAACAAAAATATTTATTTGGTGTGCAGAGGAAAGTCAGACTTGATTTTTTTCACTTTTATCTATCACAAAGATTCTGTGTGTTTTTAAATATCATTTTGCAAATTTACTGTGTATGAAAGGTCATGTATCGTAACAAATAATTTTATTATATGCAATAAAAAATTTCAAAATTATGAACGAAAATCATTCCAAACAAAATATCTCGGTAATTCTGAATCGAAACATCTATCAAAAGATTTTTATGTTTCCACGTAAAAGACCGATAATTCAGGATGGTACGAGTTGGTCATCTCTGGTCATCTAACAAGTTTCCTCCGAAATAACATATCTGTTTTCATTACATATCTGTAGAATTTGATCAGGGGAGTAGTGTTGACCTCCGCCTTCCAAGTAGAGAGCTACATGGAAAGCCGGCCAGGAAGTTCCTATTCTCATCCTCTCCCAGGGAATTTCGTTTGTATTGATTCCTTTTAGTGAAACATTAATTGTCATATTATAATGAAAGATAGGAAAACACCTTTTTTGATCTTCTTAATCAATCCAGATGATTTGAATTGTTGCTAACAGCAATATTAATAATTTGTCTCAGTGCAATAAGGTTCAGTATGTCAGTGTTCTCGTCAATCTCCATTTCATGTTCATAGTTTTTAACAGGCAATACATATGACCGTGGAAGTCCAAAAACAAATGCCACTTTCTCCACCAACTCCTTAATAGCAGGGATATAAAACGTTTTGGACACATCATATTGTAGGATTTTACAAATCTGATCAATTTTCGTAAGAATAACTACTTGTGGTATTCCTAAAAAAAAAATGTAAATATCAGCAACGGCTCCGCACACTTTTTAAACTACATAGTTTTTGCACGACATAATGTCACATTATTGTAATGAGATATTGTGTAATGAGATAAGAAAATACATGTTTAAAGTGATTTCTAAATTTATATTTAGATCATTTCACTACCTTAAAACATAATTCATACGTTATAATGGTTAGAATTTGATACACTCTTGGTTGATAGATTTTGATAGTCCTCATAGTTTTTAGATAGTTTCTTGTAAAATGAAGTCGTCTTTGTATCCTTTTTTGAAGCAGTCATTTGCCTCGTCTAGACACAGAAACAGTGCAGCTCATGTTACTACTGTATTTTTCGGCACATTAAAATAACTCTAAAGACGATGACAGTATCTCTCATATCATCGAATGCTTTTCATGTTATAAAGCTGGCTTTTTTTCAGGGTTACTTTCTAAATCTAGCATCATAATTGATACGTCCTACCGCAAAATTTCAAAGATTCTTACAATAATTATAAATGTAAAATAAAAGAATTCTCTTAAAATTAACAGTTTACCATTTTAAGTACCTTAAAAAGTTTTTCTCAAGTTTTTCTAGATGAAATGTAGTACATGAGCCTCGACGGATAGAAATCGACCTTATGGCAAAATTTATCGAATTTGAGATTTTTGTGCATTTAGATAGAGCATACAAAACTACGATAAAAATCGAAAACCAAATCAAAATATCTCTATAAACAACAGAAATATTGCAGATTGAAAATGATATGTTTTAAAAGCTAACAAAATAGCACATAAGAATATTTTAAATCAATTGTGACGTCACAAAACTTTCCAATTACAATTCTGCCTGTTATTAATAATTTAAACAACAATTTAACAATTAATAATACCACAAGCAACCATGTCATTGTCATTTACTCTTCGTCAGGTGCAGGGCACGTTGCATCTTTGTAGGGCGCTTTAACGTAAGGCCTAATCTCACGAAAGAGATAGCGCACTCTGTCGTTTGAAAGCCCTCCAGGCAAAATAACGTATGGAAATTCCTTGCGTAGTTTATCTATGTCAACCTTTTCTTTCAAAAGCTGAATTTTGACTTCAGACGAATCAAGCGTTTGCCTTGCATACACTACGCCTGGTTCCTCATTGGTGAACATGAAATGGTGGTATTTCCCGATCCCTTTTACCGGTTTACAGTACGTACTGAAGAAGGCGTCCCATCTGAACCACTGGAAGTCTCCACATCTGGCTGTCGTATTGCTTTTTGCAGATTTTTCTACAACTTGTTCCAATTGCCCAATGCTGTTTACTTCTGCTCTTCGATAATACTTCTTGAGCATGCCAAAGCATGAGTCACATAAGCACTTTGTATGACCAGTAATCATAAAGTATAAATAGATTTTTCTGTGGAGTCCGCTTAAGCATCGCCAAGCAAGGTAGTGTAAAGTTGTTTTATTTTTGTTTTGTCCGATGCAATTATCAGCGTGGAGATGGCAGACTACTTCGCCGTAGCTGTTTGCATCGAAGTAATGATGCAAAATGCTCAATACAGCATTAGGACCATGAGTTTTACTTCCATTTTCACCAATAGTTTCATTTTCATCTATGAGATAGTTGGTTTGGAGAGGGAAGTTTTCATCACATACTCCAAAGATCTGAACCTTTCTGGGCTGTAGAAAAAACAGTGGTCCGACTTGTTGTGAAGAATGGGGGATGGTCACATACTGCGAAAAATCGAATGTATAATGTACATTCTCGTAAGGTACAGAACATGACTGCAGATATTTCCCATGGGGCTTCTCGGCATCCTTTAGCTCCTCTCTTGCATTAGCAGTACATTCTTTGTAGAATTCTCTCTCTTGTTTAGCTTGATCAAGATGATCAGTCAGTCGCTTTGTAAGTTTTAACTTTGTCTCCTCGTCATATGCCCCCGTTATGTCTTCGCGGAGATCATGGCATGTCTTGCACAAGTCTGTTTTGGGTTTCATGAACTGTTTATAAGGCACACATGAATTCCATGCCTCTTTGAATGTGGTTAGCTTGACGGACGGGCTACTAGATTCAAGACATGCATCTTTGTACTTCGCATGAACCGTTGCTTTGCTCTCATTACAAGGCAGGAGCACAGGTGGTGTGTCATCGCGTGCTCGTGGGGCAGCAGGTAATGGCAATCCATATTGGTCTGCGTATCTCTTGATAAACAGGACTGCTGCTTCAATCACATAAAATGGATAACCATGGTTTGACTTCTTGCCAGTCAATCCATGAACTCGTGGGATGGTGCCGTTATCTTTGAAATGTTTCTTCAAACTTTTATACTCCGCGCGTCCAATTTCGAAAATAGATCGCCAAGCGCATTCACAAATTTCTACTCCTTGAAAGCTGTAACTGAACCGTTGACGTTCACGTTTGCTTCCTTTGGAGCCGACAGATCCGTCCGTTTGAACCAGTTGATCTTCGAGTTTAGACAGGATATATATGTCCCTTTCACTTTTAGTGAACTCGTGTAGTCTTAACAGAAGCTGATATGCATGCTCTTTGTAAGAAAATATATGTCGAAAACAGTTCTTAACGCAGCCACATTCACTTTCAAATAATTTGTCTACATATACCCTCTCATGATCCACATCTGATTCATCATTCTGACTTAGCATTGATGGGACAGATGGCTCGGCAAAAAATTCAGTTACTCTGTTCCTGATATTCGCCTCATCCACTTCAGCATCGTTTTCATCACTGTCTGAGTCATTCGTGTTTATTGCCAGTGAAGGAGTTGGAGATCGTGGAATGTACTCTTGAAAAAAATCAGCAGCCTCTTCGTCAAGTTGTTCTTCAATATCCATCATTTACACTAAAAGGATAAATTAAAATACCAGTATAAATATGTAGATAAATATAAATCAGCACAAGCAAAAAAAAAAAAAAATACAGATGATTCAGATTTGATACATCTGCATTTGTTTCTCTTCTGTAAAGATATCAATTAATATTTTATTATTATTATTATTTATTATTATTTTAGTCGAACTTACTGAGGTAGAAACTAGAAAGGAACGCAGAATGCATATAGACAGTATAAAACAGATACAAACTTTAAGTATATAGATTATTGCTACAGTGTATTTATTTCAATTGAATTACTTTTATGGAACGCCCGGTTCAACAGGGTTGGTTATGTTATGCATCAAGTCCGGAAGGGGGGGGGGGGGGGTGGTCAAGGAATTTCCCTTTAGACTCACGAATTAGACCTTTCATGCTTATTTTTTTTCTTTTCATTTATTTTGTTGTTTCTTCATGTTTTGGTTTCTTTTCTTTATTTAAGTTATTATTTTTGTAATGAGTCGTTTGTTTTTTATTCTTCTGAAAATTAAATTTTTTTCGTGTTTTTGGGCCCCAAACTCATAAATGACATGGAAGGAAGTTACAATTATATAAATCTACAAAGTTGATAGATATGATATTACTTAACGTTGAATAAATCTAAGGCAAACTTTATAAACAATTATCAAATATTATAAAATGATATATTTAATCAAATACGGAATTTCGATATTCCAAGTACCGGGTATGCACAATTATTTGCATGTTCAAAACATGGAAAGGTTTGACAACCCTGCAAAAGGGGGTTATAATTTTCAATAAACATTTTCAAATATCGGGGGGGGGGGGGGTCTTGTGTTAAAAGGGATCAAGATCACTGTGTGTCTTCGTTTATTCAGAGAGCACAATCTGCTATGCTGAATAATCACTGAGAAATTTTTTTAAAAAAATGGTTAAAATCGCCTGCATAATTCCGTACTTGTACTAAGAACTCTATAACTACCAGTTATGGGAAACAGTGAACATGATTGAGTAAAAAATTCCATTATTTTTTTTTAAAGATTCCCCCGCTTTGAGCCTCTTTTTTTCTGTCAAAGGGAAGCAACTCGTGCATTATCGTATTCAGTCGATAGGTGATAGGTACGAATCGGCTGAGGTTTGCCGAGTGTCGTACACGTATGTTCAATTTAAATAGGCAAGTAGGCTAATGCTCAAAGCGAAATATGAAATCGCTTTAATTAAAGGTGTCATTATCTTGGTCAGTATTTTTATAAACAGTACTAGGAAGGACAGGAACTATATCAGATATTAAGCCGATCTGTAAATCGTGTCGGTAGTTTTGGTTTTCAAGATTTATTTATTTCATTATGCGTAATCAATTTCTCTTTCTTCTTCTCCTTTTCTTTATTAAATTCTTTTATATTACTTCATGTTATTTTGAATCATGAAAGCAATAAATTATAGTATTTGTTATAAATATAATCTTGTCTGATGTACACAGCTGACGTGAAACTCACGGCGTCGACGTTATACACAACTTCACAAGTTCGATCATCTTAAATCTGACGGCACCTGACAGATTTATATTTAATTAATTAAACTACCAATTTAACATGTAAAAGACAAAGGTGTAATATTTCTTAAGAGTTAACTTTCACTTTTCATTAGGCTACTTGTAAAATGTTTTCTCACCTCTTTTTCATGTATTGTTTGGTGTCTTCTGCTGTTTTGTAAATAAATCGGACTCGGCATTCATATCGGTAAAGTTTACACTAAGCCATGGTAACAATTTAAATGTGCGGGGCTCTGTGAGGGAAAAATATATTTTTTAAAATTTGTACATTACCCTGAAAAATAATTTTAAGCTTTTGATGCTGTTCTGATGAGGCTGAATCATGTATTATGCAGAAAGTGAAATCCACGTGTAAAAAAAAAATGCCGGGAAATCTTTCTTAACTTTATTCGCTTGTTTCTCATTATGACGTTGCATACGATAAGGTCGATTTCTATCTGTCGAGGCTCACATGTATATTCAAATTATTTTTAAAATTACTCTCCTTCCTTTAACCTTCACCATAAACTGTCATATGGTGGCCTCAGTGCTTCACAAGCACATCTTGTTTTATTATCTTTCCTTAGAAAAACACGATTTTTCTTTCAAATAAATTTGAATTTTCTTTATTCAGATGGGATCTATTTTAGTTTAGGTATACTTAGCCAAGTTGATGTTTAGATTCTTTTTATATTTGTCTGCAAGTTTACAGATAGACAGACCTCGGAAAACGTGTAACACGGAAAGCTTAATATTGAACTACAATAAATTTAAATAAATTACTTTAAAAAAACAATACCTTACCTCGCTTCTTTGCATCGTTTTGCGAAATTTTAATCATTTCAAGAATAGTCTCGGACAATACGTCAACACTTGTAGCATCCAGCACAATGGCCATGATGTGAAACGGTGAATCCATGAAAAAGCTCAGTATATCATTATGTGGTTTCTTGCCAACTTTTGACTGCGAAAATTGATGGAAAAAACAAACTTAATACTGATGTATGTTCATAATTGGCATATTTTACGGAATGTAATTGAATTTTTAAATATTCTATAGCATTAATCTTTCACATTTTCCTTCTGCTGTGTAAGCAGCATTATAAAATACTACACATTACGCTGATAATTTGTCAAATATGAGACAAGGTTTCATGAGGCCATTGAATTTTGTCACTTTGCCACATATTTGAAAGTAAGACAATATTCACAATCTAAAATATCTTCATAAAAAGGAAAATAATAAAAAAAAAAAGGTAAATGATTATGGTAAATAAATTACAAACATGCTTTGTAGAATGTCTATCGGATTTATATAAGAAATTTATATATCAAGTCCGCGTTATCATGCATTTTGCTTGTAATAACCTCAGTTGTCGAGATCAATATGTTGTGTTATGTTATATATCAGACAACATTTCGACACTTAGGAGGGTATGTTACGATGCGCTTTGATTTTTTTTTTTCAAAGTGCGTTAAATTTGGGACCAAATCAACGCACTTTGAAAAAATTTGATTTCTTTTCAAAGTGCCTTGATATCGGCCATATAAACGCACTTTGAAAAATGTGTATGGCTTGGGTAATATTCTTGAAAATCTTAGGTGATACATGTACATTGTAAATAATTGAACTTTCTGGATACCTTTTCGGTGATAAGGTCACTTCAGGATGTGAAAGTAAGTGATTTGGATTTTTCTATACTTTGAAAATTCTTTCTCTCTTAAGGCAGGTCCACACTTTTACGGATCCGGTTTTAATTTTACACACCAATATAAAATTTTGATTATCATTATGTATTTAAAAAAAATCTTTTTGGATGATTAAAAATAATTTAGCAAGTATATATTTGTTTGTTATAGTGTCATTGTGCACACAAAGCATTTAATATACATTATTTATAGGAATAACCACTTTGCACTCTGTTCATAGGATCTATATGTAATTTAGTACATACACAGACAGAGAATTCTTAATTGCCTTTATGGACCTAAAGCTTTTCAATTTTTTTTAAACAAACTAACATGAGATCTATTTATCTTTAATTTCTAGCCTATACCATCTTTTTAAATTTACTTTTTAATACGTTTTGCGAAGAACGATTGAAAAAATAGATATTCCAAAAATGGGGGTATAGGTGTTCAAAAGGCTGTTTTGTAAAAATTTTCTGGTCAACCATAATAAAGTATGTTTTTTTGCCAACCTAAGATATAATTCTAAATAATTGTGAAGAAAAAATAGCATATAATCATACAAGATTTTGAGAAATATTTAAAATAAAGATATTTTGAGCTTTTTCTCTGAGAGATTTTGACAGAATCAACATAATTTTTTTAGTGTTTTCAAATAGAAATTTCAAATATTTTCTTGACAAATGAATATTTATGATTTTCTTAAGTTTTAATAATAATTGGATGTGATTTGGTACATAGCTAAATAAGATATGATGTTACACTTCTATATGTTGAATTTTTGCTGTTGCATTTTTAGAGGTATATACTCCGAGACATGTTGCATGAAAATTAACCTGCAAAGATATGTTTTTATGGGTGTTTTAGTTAGATTATGACTTATTCAAGATTTTCAAATCAAAAAATAAAGAGTTTGACAGAAAATTCTGAAAGAACGGACCTACCTTAAATGTTAACTGTACTTAATTTTTTCCAGTTTGCATGCATTTAATATAAACTAAAATTTATTTTATATGTATTTGCATAACTGGTATGAAGTTTTCAACGTCACACCAGTTATGCAAATATATATATTTAGGTGTAGCATGGGCATCAGTACCGTGGGAGGGGGATTAGTCACACAAATGTTTTACAAAGATTACATAATATAGGAATAAAAATTGGGGCTTACCTTGAGGTCGGGGGTGTTCCACTTTCAATTTGCTACCTAATGCTGTGTTCCCACTATCACGATTGGCGCCACGATTGCAATCGGGGATTCGAACGTGGACAAATCGTAGTGCTCGTATCAAACCGAAACAAATTTTGTGTTCACTCGTGGCTATCGTGTTGATCGTAAATTATTTTGACTGTCAAAAAATTGTCTACGATCAACACGATTAGATTTTAATCTTTATCATCGCATTATAACGTATGGCATCGTAACTAACCTTATCTGCATCGTAAGTAAACGCATCTAATCTAGCTTTCATATCGTGATAGTCGTGATCGATCTCGCACAAGACAAACACCCCGCTGGATTGCGATTCGCTGCGATGTCTTACGGTCAGTCACGATGTTTGACGTTTTGCGTGGTTCTACTGTTTACGAGCTGTTACGAATTATTTCCGATCAGATAAGATTTAGTACGGACAGATGAGAGTAAACGGGAGGAGTTACGAGTGCTGCCGCTTTGTTACGGACGTTTACGCTACCTTGCGGGCACTTAAACCCACAAAAATCGAGGGCAAAATTTACTGCGTTTCATTTCACCGATCGGAAGAGGAAGAAGACAACAGTTTTGCACAAACTGAAAGATGCCACCCAAAGGAAACAGAGGGAAAAAAGGCAAAAAGCGAGCAATACCATTACCGGAACCCGGACCCGAACCTGAACCTGAACCCGAACCCGAACCCGTTCAACCGGAGGAGACAGGAACTAAAAAAGAAAACAGTTACTTCCTTCACTGAAGAACAAAAGGAAGAGATAATTGAATTGATTCAATTATCAAGTCTTGTACAGCAAACGGTTGGCTGGATTTAAAGATGTCGCAAAAAAAGAGGATATCTGGGCTGGACAGGCAGCAAAGATGAATACTACTGTCGATCAACTGAAAACATGGTATTCGAGTATGAGAACAATGATGGGTCGATTAAAGAAACGCGCAAAGAAAAGTGGATCAGGAGCCCTTGCTGATGACATGAACAGCACGGAGAAGTGGGTGTGGGACAAGTTCACCTTTCTTATCCCCCACATTGAGACAGTGGGACCACGAAATGTGTGCTCGTTTGCGGCGGCCTCATCATGTAGCTCCGAACTTTCATTGTCTACCAAGCAAAGCTCCTCTGATTTGTCCAACTCCAGTAGGGTATCAACACCAGCACCACAATCAGATACACCAAGAGTCTCTCAGTCAGGATCAGACGGCTGTCTACGAGAAAGAGATGAAAGGGTGTCCTCTACTGAAATGAGTACTTATCATTACAATTCATTTAATCTTCATTAAATCTACTAAAAATTATAAATCTTACATAGAAATTATTATGAATATTGACTTACATAAATCATGTTTCTGCAAACTTTAAAAATTCTAGGAACGTAAGATAGGGATAAAAAGGTTTGTTAGAAAAAAATTGTTTACCATGTATATCAAATTATATTTTTAGAAAAACTACTGGTGGAATTTATGTCAAGAAGTGCAGCTAGCTGTGGGAGTTCCTACTTTGGAAGATACGTAGATGAAACGCTCTCAAAACTACCTGGAGAAATAAGGAGGGAGGCAGAGATGAATATTATGCAGGAACTGCATAGGGCTCAGCGGGCAGGCGAGAACAACCAAAGACAATCGCAATCAAGCCAAGGCGAGCAAGCACAGTCAGATTTTTGTCAGCAACAGTTCCAGAAGACACAATGGCAACCCCCACCTTCCCAGTGGCCTATTCGCCCTGTGGGACCGCAGACAAGTGTTTGGGGAAGTCAGGATCGTACCTATATTCAGCGGCAATTCCCAGCTATTCCAATTACCTGCCCCGTACCACAAACCAGGTCTCAGCTAAGACCAGTAAATTCAACTACCATTACCACAGCTAGCACTGTACCAGTTTTAACAGCCGAACAAGAATCATTCGTTAACCTTCTGTCAACTCAGCTTAACACTCCAGAGGGAGCCCAAGAGAATGATGAATCAGGGATATACCACACATAAACAAACCCATTTGACAAAGCAAACCTTTATATAACATTCATCAAAATAAATGGAAATAAATAGATAAAATTTACATTATTTTTATTTTTTCATGTTATATTTACATGGTAGCCGACGTATATTATATGTAGAAAATCGCTTTTTACATTTTTCTAAGTGCTTAAATATGATAAACTTTTACTACGAATTTCAAACCATGTTCTCAAAACAATGTTGTATTATTTATGCTTAGAATGCTCAGCTAAAACATTAACAAATCATATTATACAAATGATACAGAAAATCTCAATTTAATTTCATTAAAACAGAATTCTTTGTAAATATTATCATGTTTACCCTTTCGTTTTTTGAATTTCAAAACATTATACTCAAACTCTCATATGTAATTTTATATGCCATGGAGCCCCGCCATTCTTTCCTGCCACTCAACTGCACCTTGTGGAGAGTTGAAAAATGCTTTAAGAGTTCCCTCTGATACTTTCCCTCTGCTGTAGCTTTGTTACGAGGTGCATTTGCTTGGTCCACATCTGGCCAATCCACTTGGTCTCTCTACGCCCCTGGCATGATATCGTGGTTAATATCCTCATGGTCCACTTCTTGAAAAATCATACCTGGATTTCTCAACCTAAGAAGATTGTGCAGAACCACTGTTGCCTCAACTATATCCCTCACAGTGTCAATCTTCTGTTCTAATGTCCTTAATAGACACCTGAATCTATTAGCTAGAATCCCAATTGCATTTTCTACTACCCTCCTTCCCATTGAAATTCTATAATTGTAAATCCTCTCTTCTCTTGACATTTGCCTTCTGCTGTATGGTTTCATGAGGTAATTTCGAAGAGCAAAAGCATCATCTCCTAGGATAAAGAAAGGCATGTCCTGGAGGTCATCCTGGTTTGAAGTAAGAGGACAGGGTGGGGGTAGTCCTAGGGCGTTCTCTTCCAGACCGTTGAACAATTCTGAGTCACCAAATATCTGAGCATCTGACATATGTCCTTTACCACCAAGCTCGATCCATACAAACTTGTAGCTTGCATCTACCAAAGCAAGAAGTGGAATTGAAAAGAAACCTTTATAATTGAAGTACACACTGCCACTTTTTGGTGGCTTCTTGATAGCAATGTGTTTCCCATCTAGCGCACCAACAGCATGGGGCACATTCCATCTCTGTTCAAACTGGACAGCTAAGGTTTACCAGACTTCAGGGGTCACAGGTAAGCTAAACACTTCGTTTTGGTATGCCTGTACAATTGCCTGGCACACTTTTGGGACCATTTTAGAGATACTGGATACTCCACATCGAAATGCAAACGCAAGTGACCGATAGCTATCTCCAGTTGCAAGGTGTCTCAGGGTAACTGCCAGTTTCAATGCAGGCGAAAGAGGTTGCCTAAAACTAGTGTTAATTACCATCTGAATATCTGGGGTTATCCTCAGCAAACTTCATCAAATAACTCTGGCGTTAACCTTGTATAATTTTGGAATGCTGCTGGATCCTCAAGCCTCAAGTGACTGTCCAGGAGATTTGAATAGTGGCCAAACTGTTGTCTTCTCTCCTCTGTGAGCCACGGTCGCACCCAAAAGCGTCTGAGTGCAGCTCTTCTAACCCTTCTTTGGCGGAGTTGTACTAGCTCTATCTGCTGCCCTTCCTCCTCTTCGCTAGCAATTACATAAGAACATAGCAGAACTGCAAACACCACATTGTCATAAACTTCGGCCATTTTTATTAATTGTGTATGTTTTTATTGTGCTCACTTTTTTCATGGATAGTAAATAATGGACTCAATATATACAGATTATCAAATCTTATATCTGTCGGGGTACAATCGTAGCCCAAAGCGTGTTTCATTTTGATCCTGATCGTGAAAGACATTGCAAGGAACGTGTTGTTTTATCGCAGAGTAGCGCAAGGGAGCGTGGTGAACGTATTTCATCGTATGAGCACGTATTTAAACGTAGAAGATCGTTTCAAATCCGGGACTCGGATCGTGATATTCGCAACAGTTCGAGGCCCGTTTGTCAATTAAATCCTGATAATCCTATTGGAACGTAATTCATCTTATCTGAACGGTAGTCGGATCGTATGAGATCGCGTCACATGAAATTTTTCCATCGTGACCGTTGCGAATTAAAGCGCAACAAATCGTATAAAAACGCACCTGTGCGCATCTCTTTGTATTTGAGCATTAAATTCAATAAAAATTCTGCGATCAACTACGATTGGTCAATCGTGGCGTTCGCAACTGACCGCGCGACAGTGGGAACGTAGCATTAGTAAAGAAGGGTTTGTCTGAGAGACCTTCTTTATACTCATCTTTTCCTTGTTTTCGATTAGGGTTAATAAATACATGTAAATTAAAACGTTTTTCGAAAGATATGTAATTATTACAAATTGATTCTCTCAATTACTAAACTCTAAGTCAAAATTTTTTAATACATATTTTTTTTCAAAATGCATTGAATGTCCACATGATAAAAATGCTGATGTACACTCTTAACGCACTTTGAAATTTTGTTTATCAAAGTGCATATTGTGTGTTCCAAATTTAACGCACCTTGAAAATTTTTTTCAAAGTGCGTTGATTTTATCCCAATTTTAACGCACTTTGAAAAATTTTCAAAGTGCTTAATTTCTTCAAAGTGCGTGGCAACAGGGGTATCTGCATTAGTCACGACAACAATGACTTTATTTCTTTTCTACAAACAGCTCTAAAATACGATTATGGTACCTCTTTAGAGAAAAAAAATAAGGTCAATTTGTCGCGCCAAAAGCAGTTGCCTATTTCATTGCTTTATCTGTAAAATTACGGAGTGTAAATGTTGACAGGAGGTCCGTGAAACAGCCCCACTTGGCTATAAAAACAGATATTTATCAGCTTTTTCAGGCAATACACACGTTTGGTCTTTGTAAGACGACACATCGATGTGGTCTAAATAAGTTATAAATTTGATACTTAGTAATAAAAAAATATGCATTTCAATTCTACAGATTTGACCTATGTTTTAATCGGATAATATTTTGTTGACGCTCGTGATTCATTGGCATAATACCCATAGTACTTCTTTGATATCGGCAATAATTGTTGAAGCATTCATTACATGTATACATGTAGCTTCCTTAATCCACTTGTACCATGTAAATTTACTGTCAACTTAACTTCTTAATATACATGTACACTAAACATGAATATCTTTTATCTAATGAATAACTGATATCACAGAAATGATTATTAATTTAACCATCAACATGTTAAGTTTTGTTGAAAGTTTATGAAGCTTGAAATTTATAATGATTATTCCATATTAAATAATTTGAAAACGTTCTCTATAGAATCTCGGATGTGATAAATTAATTAGTTGAATAATCTTGCCAAGAAAAGAAACTATTCTTCTGATGAATACTTGAGAATAGAAATGCATCAATACATAACAATTATAGGTACATGTAGCTACCCTGTCACATGTGTTTCCATAACATCGAGAGGGAAAATCCTCATGACTAGTAATGATATTTTGCATTAGTCCCGGTGTGTCATATAACTGAAAATTCAGTGTTCTTTTTGATCTCCTTTGTAGCACTTGGTAAGTGCAAATCTAAAAAATAAATAAATAAATAATCATTTTCAATACGCACTTTTAGTGTTTTGCATATTGTGAAATTCATATTATAGTGTTTTTGCGCATTTTTTGTAATATCCACCCTAAGAAATACATGTATTTACGTTTACGTACTACATAATATAAGGTGAGTTAAATTAAAAATTACTTTTTCTGTTGGTCCATAATTAGTTTGACAAGTTATAGACCCATAGAAAAGCGACGTCACTGTGTTAACAAAGCTGGATTTTCCAGCTCCAATGGGCCCAGTTAGAATGATCTTCACTTTCTCCATACCAGTATCTTTCTGAGGACATAATTCTTCAACTGTTCTTTTAAGTGCTTGAATGTGCTTTCATTAAATATGAATGTTGGAAAAAGAAATTGATACAGATGAAAACAAATACATAAATTAAATTCTATTCAAAGAATCAGATGATTAAGGATACAATCTTTCAGTTTTTTTAACACACCTGATTATCCCATTTTGAGGTCAACCTCCAACAATTGTGCACTGGTCTAAATTCACCTTCTAAAAATAGAAAGAGCTATGATTAGTCAGGGTTCTCCATTGTTTAAAATTTTACTGTGTTGCAGATTTTACGCGAAGCACTAAAATTTTGAGTTATTTAAGCGATCAATTTCACAATTGAATACATGCAGGTCTACATTTTTTTTAAATCAATAAATCGTTACACAAATGGTATGGTCGTACGTAATGATAAAAGTAAAGACACATATTCAAAAAAACAGAGGAAAATCTGGTCGAGACAGTCGAAGAAACCATTTTTGAAAGTAAATTTGCTGTGCTTTTTGTTAGTTTTCATGATTTAATTACCAAATTACAAATTCATTAATCGGAGAAATGAATAATTATTATCCGAATCTGTTTAAAACTACAAATATTCCAACCGCTAAGATTTCGAGTTATCTAAGCAATATTGAAGTACCAATGCTGAACGAGAAGGACAAATTAATGTTAGATGAATTCCCTACACTTGACGAATCCAAAAATGCCGTACTTGAAAGTAGAAAAGTCTCCTGGCTTAGATGGTATACCATGTGAATTCTACCAATGTTTTTGGAACATTATTGCATGGGCTTTTTTTATGACCCACTTAAAGAAATCTTTAAACAAAAAGAAATGTCTGAATTTCAAAAGCTGTCTGTGATATCTGTAATACACAAGAAAGGCGAAAAACAATTGTTAAAATTTTTTTAGACCAATTTGCGTAACAAACACGGATTATAAAATCATAGCTTATGTTTTAGCTAAAAGGTTTCAAAATATATATATTATCATATACAATAAATAAAAATCAAACGGCTTAAGTTAAAGCAGATACATTGGCGAAAATGTTCGACTAATCTTAGATATTTTTGAATATTGTAATTCAGAGAAGAACGACGGCATACTATTATTTCTCGACTTTGAAAAAGCTTTCGATTCTGTAGAAAGGAACCTTCTTCCTGAAACGTTAAAAAAACTATTATTGGCGATCAATTTATTACATGGGTAAAGATATTATATAAAAACCCTAAATTCAAAATGAAAAATAACGGATGGTTATCTAAAACGTGTAGTATGACAAGAGTGATCCGACAAGGATGTCCAATATCATCTTTACTATACTTATTTGTAGTTGAAATTTTATCCAGTAAACCAAAAGCGAACAAAATATATCAGGAATTAGTGTAAATGGTAAAGAAATTATTAATACACAACATGCAGATGATCTAACAGTTGCTCTGAATGACAAGAAATCTCTCGATTTTAGTTCGAAAATTATTAACGAGTTTTGCGATCACGCCGGATCAAAAAACAACATAAACATGACTATCTTGATGTGACGTTGTTACGCGTCAACGTCACCGCCATGGTTGGTTGGATACCTTTTCAGTTACTCTCTGACAACTGAAAACCTTTTTTTGTGAAAATTTGAAAAAAAAAACTGCACATCAATATCTTTTCGCCTTTATATTCACTTACGCATTTCAATTACGACAACCAGTGTAACTTCCGTCAGCCATACCATAATTGCACGAAAGAACAAGATAGGACAGGTTATATCGCATGGCCCCCTAATTTCTAGGAAAACAGATTACTTGTAAATAAAACGACACCCCAGTCTTTTGAAAGATGGAAACACTTACTTTTTATAAAACATATGAGATTCCTTTTTATTCGGCCATAAAATAAATTTTAGAGGACTTTTCTTCGGCATGATCATGAAAAATAGTGAAAATATGCAGTATTTCCGGCATTCTTACGCTCTAAAAACTATGAGCGACTAAGAGTACCACTAAGATATTTTGTAATTTGAGAGCAATACATAAGTACTTGCTTTGTATAAAAAATCTTCGTGGTACTCTTAGTCGCTCATGTTTAAATATTAAAAAAATCAAGAAAAAAATCGTGTAAATTTTATAAAACTCGACTGATAATGATCAACCTGTTTTTTTTCGGATTAACAATGTGACGGATATGATATGTTATACAAGCTGCTCCTTGTCAAACGGTAGTTATTTGTAATTTTTTCGCAAGAAACATAATTTACACTAGTTTTTCAAACCATCAATCGTCTCGGATAAGGAAAAAGTTGTTTAGAACTAGAGCAAAGCTCGTTGCAAAGCAACGAGTAGGTCTTCCGTCCTGTTTTGACCGGAAGTGACGTCAACAAAAGAAAATAATAAGCTAAGTCGTATCAAGTCACTTAATACTTTCAATTTTTGCATCAAAACCTTTAAAAAAAGCTATTTTTGGCTACTTCCGGTTTGACCGGAAGTGATGTTGACGGACGGAAAATTAAGTTTAATGCTCTTATGTGACATATGTTACCCAAAAACGTGTCAAGAACGGCAAAAATATGCATTTTTTGACGACTTCCGGTTTGACCGGAAGTGACGTCGCCGGACGCATTTTGATGACTTCAATAGATTAAGCTTGACATTTTGAACAACTTTCCTTCTTGGACGTATTACAAATTCTCAATACTTTTCGAGATATCTGGAAAAAACTTTTGGCCCCTCTAGATCCCTTAATTTAGGGGTCAGCCCTTTTTTTGAGATATCGTTTGAAAGATTTTCTAATTCTGCACAAATTTTGTTCTATATGTTTTATCAA